TCTCTCTCTCTCTCTCTCTCTCTCTCTCTCTCTCTCTCTCTCTCTCTCTCTCTCTCTCTCTCTCTCTCTCTCTCTCTCTCTCTCTCAACGGGGTAGAATGGCCATACATGCACGAAGTGCATCCCTGAGGGCGAGAGTTGCAGGGTCCGCCCGTCTTTGACGCACAGGTCCCACCGGGGGATACATTCCTAGGTCCACCATCCGCTCGTTACCGTCGCCGGTCCGTCGGTGTCCCGCTCCAGAAAAACCCTCTCGTTGAAGTTGATTCCCGCCTCAATAAGCAAGTTATGGAGGATGCTGACAACATGAAACTGTTGTGCCATGTTTTTCATATTCATCTTGTGATGGCGAAGGAATAGCCTCCACATTCCCTTCAGCCCCTCGAATGCCCTCTCCACCACTCCCCTCGTTGTCTTCTGCTTCCCATCGAAGATGGTAACGTCCAATTGCTGCTCCACTCCTCCGTAAGGGACAACCATCCATGTCTTCGGATCGTACCCGTTGTCACCTAAAAGGTAGCCCTTTGTGCTCACCCCTCCTGGAAGAACGATCGGCTCGATGTCGAATAAAAGTCCAGCTCCAGCACGCTTGAACAATGACGAGTTCCACAACACCCTTACATCGTGCACACTGTTAGGATAACCAACGAAGACGTTGAGCACTGTCTACTCCAAATCAAAGACCACTTGTGCGACCACAGAATAATATTGCTTCCGATTATACTAGTCCTTCGACGGTGAGTTCGCGGGCTTGTCCACAAAGACATGCATGCAATCTATGGGCCCGAAGCAGTTTGGAAAGCCCTTCACCATGAATGCACGCGCAACTTGTCGCTGCCTTCGTCAGGTAGGCATGGTTATCTTGCCAGGGTACGCTAACAAGATAGCGTTGGTCACGTCCCATACAACGGTGATGCCAGTGGCTCTGCCGATCTTGAATGAGGATGTTCATGCGCATCGGCCCTCGCGTGAAAATGAGGGCCCTCCCGGCCATGTCACGCAGGAGTTTACCCAAAACACAGCTTTTAGAGACAACTCGGGAACGACACATATTGTTTCGTGAACCGCCGAGACGGACGCGGTTGCTTCGCTCCTTCGCCGCTCTAGCTGGGTGCGCTAGCTATACATCCCATGGTCCCCTACGACATGAAAGGTTCCCGCGGGGCATAAGCTTGCATTCCTAAGGGGCTGTCACCACCCTTAGGGGCGTATCCCTACCGAGCTACTGATCCACGTGCGAAGGCTTTTATGTGCAATCGCAGAGGTAGATCAGCCGAGGGCGTTTGCTCGTCTCGCTGCAGTATAGGAATTGTTTGACTAAACGCCGAATGAACCCGTGCGTCGTTCGTTCCCTGGGGCGCTGATCTCCCAAGTACGAAGTGTACGCCGGTCGACTAGGACATTCTCAACTAAATGTGAAAACGATCCTTAGCCCCTAGCAATCAAAAAAAAAAAAAAATCCTCATACTTAAAAAACAAAATCACACAATCCAAATCGTTGACTTGATGAGCTGGTCTGCCAAAGTGTCTATTTCTCGACCTGTATGACCGAAAGAACTTTTTATATTGTCGTTCCAAGATTATTAATTTAAAGAAACAAACTAAGAATGATTTTCTTATCATGGCTACTGAAACTTGTCATGAATAGCTTCTAAATATCACTGGCACCATGCAGATCACAAGTGATCAGGTTTCTGGTCGATGTTTGAACTCTCGGTTCGACCGCGTTTTCGTACCATATTCAATTATTTTGTAGGAGCGAGTAACAACATTTTTGGTCGCTTTGCCCTCCTGTACAATAATTACTCTTTCTGTTTCACGAATGATTGAGTATCCATCTCTAATGCCAAGTTACGCAACGCAGAAATATTTCATCTTCCGCTGCTTTGCTTGACCACTTTTTCAGACGTTCGCTTTTCACTCTATCCAGCTTATTTTTATGCGAACGATTACCCCACAATGCATAAGCATGATAGTGAAATCATCTGGGTTATCCGAATACTATCCATCCGGCGGTCCTAATTACATAAAGTGTTTTGTTTTTGTTTTTAGATTACCTCGTGAAACCATAAGTTATAAGGTTTCCTCAACGGGACTGAGGCCATGCGGAGTGTTTTCTGAAATCTGAGTAAGATTTCAGAAGACGATGTTTAATCCTTGTAAATATCTCGTCCGCCACGCACCTGTGTCTCCAATAAATCCAAACGTGTCAGCTCGTCGTCGTTGAAAATCAAAGTAGACCTTCGTCCACATTGCATGACTCTAACAATCCGAGTATTATTGAAGGAGGTCATCCGAGAGGCTAGTCTCCAAACTATAACTCGGAGAGGTCGACTAAGTCCAAACAGATGTCGAGTATCTGTGTCCCGGATCCGGACGACGCCGAAACGCCTACCGGACGAGGTAATCTTGATACTCACAATGACTCGAGAGAGGCATTGGAGGTTACTCGCACGGTGGAAATACAAAGTATATCCGTAAAGCTCGTCGGGAGTCCGAGCCGTGTTGGCTCGAAAATCTGCGCGAGTAGTAGGGAAAAACCCCTCGCCATTTTGAAGCAGTCCGATGAAGCCGAGCCAGTCAATAGAAGATCCCTCCTGTATTCGTAAAAGTCGTGCCGCACTCCTGATGAGATCCTCCTCGTGTGTATCACGAACCAGCAGATACCTCGAGATCGTCAAGTCTCGTCGTGCTCCAGGCATCTGCGTATCAGAACGAATTCAAATTAGGTACGTAAAAACTCCTCGAGTTCTTCCGCTTCATTTTTTAATTCATCGTTATATAATGCATCAGCCCCTATTATTGCGTACCTATTGGCACGTATCCGCTCCGCGTAGTATATGCCAAAAAATGGACCTTGTTGCTCGTTCAGCCAAAGCACGTAACGGACGTACATCAACCTTATACCCGGGATTTCGTCCACTCGTGTGTTGATCTCATAGGGCTGCAACGCCACCAGTGACGCTCAGGCAATGGCGGTGCGAACTCGTAATGAAGAATATCCAGACCGTTATCACTCCTGAAAACAAGTCGTCTGGGGGGTCTTTGCGCACTACCACCCCAAAATCGCGGAACGTCCTCCTCAGAATATAATTCTGACGGATTATAAATAAGTCTACCTACCCTTTCAACCCTCACTCCATCACGCCTTTGGAGTTCAACTCTCTCTGCTGCCGCATCACGATTGTTGAAAAGGAATAGTTTCGTAGTTCTCATAGCCATCTGAAAGAAAAAGGAAGCCGAATGTGATTAAGTTAAAACTAAGTATCACTAAAACATGTCTTCCTTCTGGCCCGTGCTTCTTATGGCACGACCAACCTCGTCAGGAGTATCTAAATGTACTCCGTTCAGCTAGTAAAACATGAGTCGGGCTGCTTGTGGCGCCAACTTTCCATACGTTAGTGGTACCTAGGGTGACCACTTAAACAGGATTGCTAAGGCAGTTTTCCTTTCCCGCAAGGCATCAAGAAAATAATTTTATTTCGTGAGGATGTCTTTTCCATTCCCCTAAGAGGTGGTCTGGGATACTCCTCCTCCTCGCCCGAGTACAAAACTCGGATCTCAGAAGTCGGGCCGTCTCCACCGAATCGACATAATACCCCCCCGCAAGACGGTCCACTCTGAGTCGATAACAGGGCCGGCCCCTAAGGCAACGAACCCCCGCCCCAGATGCCTCCTAGAAAAATGGAAAGACACCTACACGGCAGACAAGTAGAATCTTGCCGCCTAGCGTCAGAATAAACTTAGACGAAGAAAGAGGAATCGTAGAAAGATAAATTCATTCAGACTGACAGGCATAGATGGAAGAGGGTTATTCGGGAAAGAATGGGTAACCTCATGAATAAGTCTAAACCAAGTTGAATATCTCTTCCTTATGCTCGCTTCGTTTCTCATCGTCTTCTTTTTCTTTTATTTATACATAGAACACAAGTACAATGATGAAAAGTCAACCATTCTTTCACCGTCATTACCCTCATCCATTTCAATCCATTTGTCGTACCTTCAGTCAAAACCCAACGACACACAGACCACCATGCAATCCTTTTTTATTGTTTAACTCCCTGTCATACACGCAAATGCACACATTCTCTTTCCCTTTTCAATGAACATTCAGTAAAACAGGTCGAAGCAAGTGTGGGTTCACTCAGGTGTGAAGGGAACTGAGTCAATTTCATTGACTGACCTTGAGTGAAGTTGGACTGAAGATAATAGCGGCCCACTCAAGAAAAGTCGTATAAAAATTATGCTCCTCTGTCAGTGACAGTTGTCTTCAGTCGTTGACAAATAATCCACACTCCTCCTTTTACCACAACCACCTGCCACAACGCCTCCTCACTATCTTCAGTAAGTATTGCCGCCACTAATTTTCACTGCCACCGTGTCACCACGCCATCAAACTCACGCCACTTCTGATCCCCCACTCCGGTGGCACATCCCCTATACCAAGGTTTAACTGTCACTCAATGTAGAAATATTACCGCCTGTAACCTCGCTTCGCCGCCGTAAAATTTTTGCAGCGCTCCCGCACCACGGCTGGTTAAACCGGAGTCACTGTCGAAAAGATTCCGTCAGCGCTACCGCACCCCCGCTGATAAAACCAGAACTGCCGCCTCCAAAATTCGGCAGCGCCTTCGCACCACCGTTGAAAAAGTCGGTGCCGCCGCTGCAGAATTTCGGCAGCACTTCCGTAATACCGCAGTAAAAAGCCGGTGCCGCTACTGCAGAATTTCGATAGCATTTCCCCACTACTGCAGTAAAAAGTTGGTGCCGCCGCAGCAGAATTTCGGCAGCATTTTCCCATTACCGCAGTAAAAAGTTGGTGCCGCCGCAACAAATTTTCGGCAGCATTCTTGTACTACCGCAGTAATAGCCTGCGCCGCCTGCCGTAGTACCACAGTGCCATTGGGCCTGTCCCGTGGGACCAGCACCAGCCAAAGGGGAGGGGAGCAGAGTGCTCCTTACCTTGGCTATGGCTGCCCAGTCCTCCTCCTGGTGCTCCTCTGCAGTCCTCCAGCTCCTCACGTTGCCTCAGTAGCAGCTCCAGCAGCCACAACACTCAAGTGTGCTCGTCACACACTGGCAGCACGAGTGCTTTGTGTGGCAGCTGGGAGGCAGCTGCCTTTTTTATATTGGCTGAGAGGAGTTGGACGTCACTCCAGCCCCCAGGCAAAAACGCGGGCTCACAGAGAGCCGTTGATCTGGCCTAGATCCAGGGCTGACTGTGGCCGCACCACAGCCACAGCCTTAGTGTGGGGCAGTTTCTTTAACTGCCCTATTTTATTTTTATTTTTCTTTTTCCCAGCTATCTCGGAATCTGGAGAGATAGCTGGCCTCCTGCCATTTCCAAATCAGTTTTTCTTTTCTTTTTCTGATAAAGGGTTGAAAAGATACGACCTTTTTATGTTTGATGTATCTGGACCCTTTTTCCAGGGCAGATACATCGAGGAAAAGGCTGTATCTAGCCTTTTCCTTAGTGACCCTTCAATTTCCAGGCTCCCTGCAAAAAAACGGGAGCCTGACAGTTACCTCTGGCAGCTTGTGCCAGAGGTAGCACCACGTGAGGACATGTGTCCTCACTCAAAAATAAAGAAAAGAAAAAGAAAAAAACTAACTTTCTAATTCCTACTGCAC